TCAGATCATTAAATATTCATGTGGAGAAGTTTGCACATCTTTGGAACAAGTGGACAAAGTCATGAAGATATGGACCACCTTTTTGGAGCCCTTAATGTGTGTTCGATCTAGAAATCAAGGTGAAGAAGATGCTCAAGATGCAAAACCTAAAAACCGTGCTGTCAAAACCAGTATGGTAGGCGTGGGTGAAAACAATCGGAGTTCTGGTGTTGATTGTGCTGGTGCTACCAGGCAAAACAATGGTGATGGGAACATTTCACCCGAACAAGTAGCTCCGTGCAGAACTAGGTTGGCCAGTGGAGACACAACAGTTACTGAAAATGGTTTTCATAACATAGATCGAACAACTCGCCATAGTGAAAATCTTGGTAACAAACCACTGCAAGGAAGAGGGCAGGGGAGTGCTCCAATGGCTGATGAAGTGTCTGGAATAAACGGACAATATGTATCTGCAGAGCCTTTACAGGATAACATTTATGTTGCTGGTGGAGCTGAACAAAGTCAGAATAGAACAAACCTGGAGATCATATCAGGTTCAAGGATAACATCATTGATATTTATATTTGTTCTCATTCTTGTTGCAAAGTAACTTAACCTTTTTTGTTCTCTTTTTAAGGAGCTAATAGTGCCTCTCTAAGAACTGGTCATTTTGGAATGGAAACAGTAGTTGAAACTCGAGCTACCAATGAAATTTTACCATCTTCAGAGGTATAAATTTTGCATTTTTATGATTTTGAGTTTTTCTACTCTGGTATATGGCTATAGTTAATGCTTGGGCTTAACCCTTAGAGGCTTTTGTGTTATTAAGGAGTTACACGTTTGGTGCTGTTCCATACCTATATTATATTGCACCAATATGGTGCTGACACATGGACACAATCTGTGCTTACCAAGGGCGTACGACCATTATTCCTTTGGATGAACACTATCTGTGTCAGTTGCTAATCTTTGTTTCCTTGCTTGAAATTCTTGCAGCAGTTACTTGTTATGTCTGGCTAGATTCAATTTCTATAATCATCATGGCAATGAAAATTTTTTTTGGCAAATAAATGCTTGTGTGTTTGGCCTTAAATATATGAATCCGGGTGCTGTTTGTCCTGGTAATAGTATGTTGTGTTCTACCTCAGAATCGACAGTCTCATTTTTAACTTGATATAGCTATATTGAAATGTGCTAGGGTGGACAAACTGGAAGGCCCATTGTATCAGCAAATGGTGCTAGCACCACTGAAAACAACAAGGGTCACAGGCCTAATGAAGGTTCTGCTTCCCTTAATAACCTTAAGGTTGAAAGAGAAGAAGGTGAATTGTCACCTACTGGAGATTTTGGAGAGGATAATTTTGTGACTTTTGGAGATGCTGCTATAAATGTTGCTCCTAAAGGGAAGGACACTTCTGCCAGCAGACAGTTCCAAGTCAGACCTGGAGAAGTAGAGGCTTCTTGTGGTGAAGCTGCAGGGGAGCATGATGCTGATGCTGATGATGAGGGTGAGGAAAGTGCTCAACGGTCTACAGAGGTTAGTGAAAATGCATCGGAGGCTGGTGAGGATGTCTCAGGCAGCGAATCTGGTGATGGCGGGGAATGTTCTCGGGAAGATCACGAGGAGGAAGAGGATGATGCTGAGAATGATCAGGATGGTAAGGCTGAAAGTGAGGGTGAAGCTGAAGGAACAACTGATACACATGATGCTGAAGGAGAAATTACCTCATTACCATTTTCAGAACGAATTCTACACACGGTTAAACCTCTTGCAAGGCATGTACCTGCCGCATTACATAATAAGGAAGATAAATGTTCACGGATTTTTTACGGAAACGATTCATTTTATGTGCTGTTTCGTCTTCATCAGGTCAGGGTTTTTTTTATTGGGATATTTTGTAGCTGATATTTCAGATAGTCGCCTATAGATCTTTTATCTGCCTTTCAGACTTTGTATGAAAGGATACTCTCAGCCAAGACGAACTCATCAGCTGCTGAAAAGAAATGGAGAAGTTCTAAAGATACAACCCCTCCTGACTTATATGCCAAGTATTAGACATTGACAACCGTGCCTCTCACACTTTGTATTATTCTTTGTGGATTACCATTCTTGAAAGTCTCTAATATATATGACTTTGCAGATTTATAAGTGCTCTATACCACCTACTTGATGGTTCTGCTGACAATACCAAGTTTGAAGATGATTGCCGTACGATCATTGGAACTCAATCCTATCTACTTTTTACGTTGGACAAGCTAATCTATAAAGTTGTTAAACAGGTAATATCTAGAGTATTACATGGTTGTTAATGAATGATACCCTTTCTTTCCTCAAGGGCCTACTTGTCTTTATATATTTTTCAGCTTCAAGCAATGGCTTCAGATGAGATAGACAATAAGCTTCTTCAACTCTCCTTGTATGAAAAATCAAGGCGATCGGGCAGATCTTCTGATTTAGTTTATCATGAGAACATTCGTGTGCTTCTTCATGATGAGAACATATACAGATTTGAATGTGTGAGTTTCTAGTCTCCTTTTTCCCCAAGCGTTTAGGGAAATAAATTTCCACATGTTGCTTTATCCTTGTCCCTTTATGTGTACCACACTATTACTGTCAAAAACATTACTGCAAAAAACTAGTACTAGAAGCTATTGTTTATAGTATTCGGCATTTCTATCTTGTTTTAGCAGGCAAGAAAGGATATGTGATTACGAAAAAGTGAAATGCATAAGTTCTGTTTCAAATATTTGATTATAAGAAGTTTACTTACAAGTTCTGAATATTTGAAATAGTTTATCAGTTCTCACTTTTTTTTTATATGCTTTTCTTCGTCAGTTTTCGCAGTCTTCATATGTGACCCGACTATCCATTCAGCTTATGGAATATGGACACGAGAAGCCCGAAGCCACTGCTGTCTCTATGGATCCCAGCTTTTCAGCTTATCTTTACAGTGATTTTCTGTCGAGTATTCCAGACAAGAAAGGAGCTGAGGGTGTCTTTCTGAGAAGGTTAGCATGATATGGTCTTTTCATGTTTTTTAAAGAACTCGTTGTTTTGACTTCCTAACATTCTGCAGGAACAAACGCAAATATGGGGATGATGATGAATATGCTTCTACTTACAAGGCCATGAGTAGGTTCCAAGTTATCAATGGTTTGGAATGCAAGATATCTTGCAGTTCCTCAAAGGTACTTGATCAAAAGTTCTAATTAGAAGCTCTAGTCCTGATATCCAGGCCTGTTAATTTGTTAAGTGCGGGAATATCTTATGGAACTTTTCTTGCTTTGCTTCCCAGGTGTCTTATGTGCTAGACACAGAAGATTTCCTGTTCCGAGGGAGAAAGAAAAGGATATATTCTTGTGGGGGGACCAATATTTGTGGCCAAGCTCAACCTTCACAAGCACATGATGCAAAAGTAGAGCAGTTTCATCGAATCTTATCCAGCTTCCTATCCAGATCCTAAAGCACCTTGCCACAAGAAAAGTGGTAAGTTTTTTTCCTTGCAAAAACATTTATGTTTATTATTCTTTTCCTGTTCATTTGTTTGCAATGCTTCCTATTACTATTAATGTTTCAACAATGATCACCCTTATTGGAAATTTGGAATTATCTTTGTCAGAGTAGGAATTTCTATTAATTAAGAACTTCCTTTGGTCATTTGGGTTCCAACTTAAATCAGCAGGCATGGTATTTGGTAGGATGAGTTTGAACAAATATCAAGCTGCTTGTTATTTTTGTCTGTCTTGATTATTTCCACATGAGCAAGCGATCACCACTTCTAATCTGGCATCACCTTTCTTGTGCAGTGGCTGTTTGTCTAGTCAAAAAATCCAACCCGGCAGCCCTCCCCTCAGCTGCGATACTGAAAATTCTGGCATTTTCTTTTTCGCCTCCTGCATCTTGCTGTCCTGGAAATAATAGCCAGGGAGAATTCTGGTACATACGGCGATCATTATAACTTCATTCTAGTGGCTTTACAATCACATATTTGTATATATGTATGACCCTCAACTTCCTTGCTCGCATGGATATTCCAAGTTTCTTTTCCCCGTGCCCTCGGCTCACATATTGATTGTCTACCAGAACACACTGTAACATTGAGATGTAACCTGCTTACTCCTGTAACAAGTGTAGGTATCAGCAGCCTGTACCTTGTATGTGATCGTTAGGAATATCTAGTGATTTGCATCTTGTTGAGGGAGTTGGGACGGCGGTCCTCTTGATGTAAACTTTTCTTGTGAATTGCCTTGTTCCCAGCGGGAGTTGCAATGTGATTCTGGTCACCAAATTGTTGCTTTTGGTTTAAGTTTCACCAGTTGAAATGTGATATCAAAGCTGAAGGGTCTGAGCATTGTTGTTCTTTTTAGACTGACAATTTACATCCTTAGGAGCTCCATTTGAAGTTTTAATATATAAATAATAAATGATAAATACGGAGAAAAGTTTATAGGATAAGATAAATGGAGATATCACCACCACCGAATTAATATTTGAAGTATGGAATTTAAAGAACAAGATTATGAATCCTGCGATAGATGAATTAGAAATGCCATCAAATTAATAATATTTTGACATGTAAATGGATTTTTTTATTAAAAATAATAAATAAATCGGCATCAGAGAGTTCGAATTCTTATTCGTCGGTGACCGGATCGGATCCTGGTGGGAGTTAAGGTCCGCTCATCGATCCGAGGACAAAATCCGCATCTTTATCACCCATCGATCGGACGGCGGAAAGCCGAAACGTTTCCGCCCTGAGCGTCTCATTTTTCGCTGTCGGATTCTCTCACGTGGTGGTGACCAGAATCTATTGGGGGGGGGGGGGGGTGGTTTCTTCGTTGGATTGGATTTGCATCCAACCGGATCTTTATTTATCTTAGAAGCAATGGTGGCGCCCGATAACCTAAAATCTAATTCGGATCTTAAAACCGTAGTATTTAAATCCGATATGCGACCCAAATCGATGGATCTCGAAATTGGCCGAAAGAGCCCGATAAATATGAACCGTCCGTGGCCCCTATCCCACCACCTGGTCTCGACGTCTGACTCGATCCGGCCTCCGCAGTGGCCCCGGTCGTTCGATCGATCGATCCCATCTTGTTTGACTCGTCCTCCTCTCGAGTCTTCGCTGTTCCCCTGTTTCTTCTCTGTCGAATCGTTCTTCGATCGATCCGGTATCCGCGCGGAGCGAGGAGGAAAAAAGAATTTACATTTTATTAGGGTTTGATCGGAAGATGGAGCCGATGGACATCGTCGGAAAGTCGAAAGAGGACGTCTCGCTCCCGAAATGTGGAGTTCTTTGTCCCGATGATTGATCCCCCGAGCTTTTGTTCTATTCTGTTTGTTTCTTTGTCGATTATGTATAGCTTTCGGAATAGGTTTCGTCCGTCTGCGTTAGGGTTTGTTACTTATCTTAATATTCAATTGGATTTTATAATCTCGAGAAAAGAAGATGCATAAGCTAATCAGTGGAGTTTTTATCTTAATTTTTCCGAGGATAAAGCTTTCGCTGGAAGTTTGCCGCTTCCGAGATTCCAGGAAGATGATGGGTCCTCTTTTCGCCCGACATGTTTTCAGGCAATGATACTAGGTCTTGGGTGTTTTACAAGGGGCTAAATCCTGGATCCGGAAAAAATTATGCAAAATAATTATGGGCTTGAACCTTGTTTCGTCATTGACTTAATTTGTTATTATCCTAGTGTTCAAGTCTTTGGGTTAGGACCAAGGTAGCGAAGCACGAAATTAGCCATCTGGTATATCAGTCCCTCTGTAGCAAGACAGTTGTGTTCTCATATCAAAGATGATTAACCATTTTTTTCAATGTTATGTTCTTATAGTAATAACGTTCCCACCATTAGCATGTGGAAATAAAAGGCTCCAGTGTTTGATCTTTCCTTTCTTTAATGATAATTATTTTTTTGCCAAAATGGTGGCAGTGTCTCATACTAGAAAAAAGAGTGACAAATACATGTGGCTGGTATTATGGTTTTGAAGAGATGGTTACAAATTTGCGGTAAGATGAAATTCTTCACAAACCTCACTGGAGTGTCTTAGAAGAGGAACCAGTTGAAATCATAGGTGTGGTCTTTTGGAGAAACATGATCCCCTATGATTGACATAGGTAGCTTTTTCATTCATATGTAGTTGCATACAACTTTAAGAAGCTCTCATATATGAGCGGCCACTATCAATGGCTCTCTCTCATCTCTGCTCAGAAAGTGAAAACTTATGGTTAGCAGCTTCCTAGTTACTATGCAAATACAAGATTATTGGCTAACTACATGATGATTTTATTAATACACTAGTATCCTATTCATATTCTCTCTTAGTATGCTTTTTGTTCAATTTCCCATGTCTTGCTTGCCTTGAACCTTTTTTTCTTCCCTGAAATTCTGACACTTCGAAGTTCAAATTGGTTATTTTAAGCATTGCTCTGGTGTTCAGACTTGTTCTTTTAAGCATCCTACAAAGGGATATAACCTCATTGATATGGATTTTGTAGTTTTGCTGAGAAATCTGGGGCCATGTTCATGATTATTTCTTATTCATACATGAATCATTTAACTGGTTTCCTAAGTCTAATCATGATAGCTCTAGCTTTCTCATGATCTAAGTATCTTTTGTCCATTTTAGAAGTTGAGAAAATTTTACTAGGACTTGTCAGATTTGTGTTCATGTATTTTCATTGCAACACATGAATAGCTTCATTGCCTTAGCAAAAGGAAACAGCAAGCAACTCAATAAGGATCAGTGATTTGACGTTTGCTGACAAGAAGTTTATGCAACTTATAGTTCAGAATAGCTTATGTGATTGATGCTTGAAATTATTGCTCTGTTTCCTTTTACTCTGGTTTTTGCCCTTATTGACCTGTAGTCTGGATAAATGAAGACACCTAAAAGGACATGAGTGTCACTAATTTTTAATATAATGCATGTCACCTGTTTTGGAAGAAAAGTGCTTATGTAAGATCTTAGGGAAAATATCTGACTTCAACAAACTAACAATTAGAGAAGGTTGTAAAATATAGCATTTTTGCTTCTTCTGTTAATGAATGAGCTCTTGTCTTCCCAAGTCTGTGGTACCGTAATTCGCCTCTTTCGTTGACTCTTTTGAATTGTATATACTAATCTCCTTTCAGATCCTACGGCTAAGAAAGACACCTTTTCAGTAAAATGAACTTCATCCTTGGATTTCAAGTTAATGTCCTGAACTCAGTGTTTTGGTTACTTTTCAGCGACAATGTTCAAGATTATTAAGGAGATGCTACCACCTGATGTTCGTGTAGCTAGAGATACTCAAGATCTTCTTGTGGAGTGTTGTGTAGGTAAGCAAAATTTATAGGCCATTCTATGGATTTCTTTCATTTATTTCTACTGCAAGTTTTTGATCCTTGTTTGCTTTATGAACAACAATTGAAAATTATGTAGAGATTTTAACAGGCAAATTTATAACCCTTCTCACATTTTTTTTTCGTCTCAAGGAAGCAAATATCCCATTGGCGGATATCCTTTAAACTAACTCAGTGCCTATGATGCATGTCAAATAACTTCAACTTTTTGTTTGGAAGATAAAGAAAAGCATACCTTTGGAAACAAAAGGCAGTATGATGTGATGTCAGTATTCAATTCCAGCCACCTATTTTGTATTTTTCTTGCTACTGAGCCATTGATAACATGTTACATTTATAATTAGACAAAGTACATGAACAAGGGAGCAAAAATCACTTTTATGCAACCTGCAGTTGGACATCCAGTCTATCTTAAAGTAAGAAAGCAAACAAGAGAAGTTAAGTAACTTTAAGAGGATGTAATTTTAAAAGAAGTGGTATTCTCCTAGTTCTGTCTTTTCTTGTTTTAATTTGTTTCTGTTCTTCTCTTTTACCATATTTTAGTTCCATTTGACACCTAATGCCATAAATATTATGATCTTTCTATAAACAAGATTTATATCAGTACAAGTGCCTTCTAGTGTGCTGGTCAAATTTATCAGTTGTCCCTCTTGTATTGTCTTGGTTCTACTGATTAAGTTTTTGAGTATTTATCATTATCGGCAGAATTTATCAACCTTGTATCTTCGGAGTCCAATGAAGTATGTAATCGGGAGGACAAAAAGACAATTGCACCAGAGCATGTGCTCAAGGCTTTGGAGGTTGTTGATTGTTCTACACTTTCTCCTATATATGCTGCATATATTTTTCTTTTTTTCTTCTGTTTGAATTATCGCCACTTCTTATTTATAAAGAGTTATTCTAATGTTGTCTTGCGTTTATTCTTTGCTAGGATGATAAGAATTTTAGCATGTAAGATTTTGATTTAAATGTTGTATGACTATCTTTGTTGACTTGTCATGGATGATTCTAGGTGCTAGAGTTTTAATCCTTTCTTAAGTTTTGTTCTTTTCGGATTTCAGCAGCACTTTTCTTTTTATAGACACAACAATGTAGTTGAATATTCTTGACACGATGTCCAATTTTACATATTTTTTTTCTGAAAAAATGTTCCTTTAGAATAAAAAAATTGAAGACCACAATTTTTATGGTACTTGGAAAGTAAGAATTAACTGCAGAACAAGTAGCTCATGTTGGCCGCAAGAAAAATATGATATACGGGCAGAAAGATGCATGTGTTGGGGTGCATCTATATTGTTGATAGGAGGGAAGGGGCAATTGAGTAGCTTGGAAAAGATTGAAATCACTTGCAACTCTTACACGGTGTTATAACAGGGTACTCCGGTGCTCACCTAGGTGCCCAGGAGAGGCAAGGCGAGGTGAGGCCCGAGCACCTCAAAAATCTTCGGATGGGGTGAATTTAACCTAAGGCGGCTTAGGCGAGCACCTGGGTTGGCCCAGTCACATCGAGTGATATCGAGCCCAATCCAGCCTGAGTCAAATGACTCAGTCAATCGATCAAATTCCTTCCCCCTACCTACATTTGTGTCCACCCAGTGTCCTGGTTTTGTAGAGACATTATTTCATGAACAGAAGAATTTGATGGGTCTATACATAAAAACTCAGTCTACATGTTCTTGGTCGCTCTCTCATGGGAAAATGTGGGACCAAACTCTACCTGGAGAAACAACCAGGTTTCTTATTGGTTAATGTCTTGATAAATGGTCCTGGGTGTTGGCCGTGGATTTATTGCATGCTGTGTATCTAGAATTATAAAGAAGTGAAATATGAAGAAATGAAGTAATGACAGCTCCTTTGGAGACAAAAAAAACTTCTTCCTATTTTTGATTATCCAATTTAATCCTTTTTTTTTACATTTTAATCTCCTTGAGCTTGCATACAGAATTGTTGGTATAATTTTTCAAGAAACTAAGCACTAAAGTAACCACAGTGCAGATTATCCTTTGTTAAAACATATCACTGTACAATGAGCTACAGAGTTGGAACTTTTATTTTTAGTATTATGAGATGCATCCTTAACAGAAACTATCTCATGTCTGGTGAGGCCGATATGTATCCTAGCACTCTATTTTATCCTTTAACAGAAAGTATGTACCAGGTTCTTGGCTTTGGTGAGTACATCGAGGAAGTTTATGCTGCATACGAACACCACAAGCTTGAGACCCTGGTAGGTTCGTGGTTAATTTTCTGTGCATTATTTGTTTTGAGTTTCTTTAGGTACATATATATATATATATATATAGATTTGCATATATCTGTCTTCTATCTATACTGAGCAGGATTCACCTAAAGGTGGTAAATTTGGCGGTATAGAGATGACAGAAGAAGAAGCGTTGGCGGAACAGCAGAGGATGTTTGCAGAAGCCCGTGCGAGAATGAACAATGGAGTGAGCATGCAAAAGCAGCCGGACTCCGATCACAACCTGGAGAGCCAATGATGGAGCCCCGGGCATATTTGCGATCGGGGAAAGCAGCAGCCTCCAAGTGTTGCACAATGGGCTAATTGGGTGACTGCACGTTTGTATATCTAGCTATCAACTCTGACAATATTGCCTGATTATTTAGCAGTACAGTTTAAGTAGAACAGAGTACTGGTGTTTCCTTGAGCTTGATTTCTTGTGTCCTTCACTCCCCCCAAGTGTGTAGTTTCCCGATTGATATTTTTGCCAACCACAGTGGTGCCAAGTTTTAGCATTGGCCGAACTCCTCTGTCGACATGCATCAAATATTCTTGCCAGCCATCCTGCATAAGGTTTGGTTGGTATCTTCAAACCATTCCTTAACCGCAACACTCCTTGGGAATTCCCAATCCTATCCTCAAAGGTATAGGTATCACTGCATAAGCCCACATCCGGTTTGCTACGAGTATTCTTTCTCTCTTGATGATGGGCTAAACGGAAGATGGGGAAATGCAGTGAGAACTAGCAGCAATGACTGACGTTTTGTTCTTTCAAAAGTGAAATAGGTAATCTCATCAATTATCGGACTGCGATTTAGTGGATTAAGCTCCGGTCGCATGCTTTTGATCAGCCCGCCTCGTCGATCACCGGTTGTTCTTCAATAGTTTCTCGTGCCCACCGGCAACGTGAGTTTAGAGGTCCATCCAATCTTATATAACACGGGTTAATTACTCTACTGCTATTAAGAAGTGTGTTTTGGCAGTTGTTTGTAGGGTGGGTTACGAAGGACGGACACAAAGCACCATCCGAGAGGTTTCCTTCCCCAACCAGCCAAAAAAAAGAAGGTTGTCTATGGATGCATGATTAAGAGCGTCTCCAACAACATGACCAAAAGAAGCGCGACCACCGACTCTCGAACACCTACTCCCCACCAAGCACTAATTGAAGAAGCCGGTAAGCCAAACGAGGTCGACATGTTCCAACTCTTACCGGGGTTCCCATCGTATGCAGCCTTGTCTTCTGGATTAGACGTCTGCTGCGCTTGTTTGCATTGTTCTACGCCTGTCGGCATACCCACCGAACCATGGCAGAGGTATGGGTTGTCCCAAAAAGCGGATCTCCTCCCCATTCTTCGGTAGAACTCGTCGGAGAACCTGAGCTCCCCTGTCAAATTGTTGCCATTGAGATAGAGCGCAGTCAGAGAAGGCAAAGTCGCAAGCTTGGGGGAAACGCTGCCGGAGAGCCGGTTGTTATCCAACGCAAGGAACCTTAATCTCTTCAACCCCGCGATCGATTCAGGAATTGCTCCGCTTAAGTTGGCACGAGAAAGGTCCAGGGTGGTGAGGTTGGCGAGGTTCTCCCACTGGACTTCCGATAGACTCCCGCCCAATGGGTTGTCGGAGAGGAGCAAGTCTTGGAGCGAGACCATGCGGTGCAGAGTATGAGCCCGAGCCAGAACACCGGATAGCTCGTTGTTTCTGAGGTCGAGTAGAGTAAGACTCCTGAGGCTTCCGAGCTCCGATGGGATACTCCCGTTTAGGAGGTTGTGACTCAGGTCTAGCTTTAAGAGCGAAGCAAGATGGCCGAGCGAGGAAGGAAGAGAACCGGTCAGAGAATTCCTGCTCAGGTCTAAGATCAACAGCTCGGCCATGTTGCTCCCAAGAGAAGCCGGAATGTAACCGCAGAATCGATTCCCGGCGAGCGCTAGCCTTTTGAGCCGAGCCAGATTGCCGAGTTCCCGTGGCAACTCGCCAGACAAGGAGTTGTCGACGAGCACCAGCGACTGCAGTCTTGTGAGCTGAGCGAGGTCGGCCGGGACTTCACCGACGAGGCCTTGATTCGATCGAAACTCCAGAGTCTCCAAGCTTCCAGCTAGCTTCTCCCAGTGGCGCGAGGGGATGGTGGTCTGGCGATGCGAAGAGAAGCAACCCAAGAAGGAAAGCCTCCTGAGATGCTTCAACTCGAATAGCAGTGGACTAAACACTGCATCCTCTGCGCATTCGAGTGAGCCGTCGAGGAGCGGACCGATGCTTAGGCCGGTGACGTACCACATCCCGTCAAACAGATCGCATGACACTCCCTGTAGTCAGCGTTCATGGCGAGAGGACAACTTGTATCAGAATCCATGATCGGATTATTAAGGTCAATTATCAAACCATCATCGTTAAATGAAAAGAATCAACCTACAAACCAGAAATCAAATTCCGAGCTTAGGAGAGTTCAGTGATGCCTTCACATGACAACCGAAGACCGGAATCAAACGATTCAACTCTCGTAAGGAGTTGGTTCTATGGAAAGAAAAAGAAGTTTGAACAGAGGAAATAAGACATGGCAATTGTCTACCAAGCGCAAGTACCTGGATTTGAGTCCATCCACAAGGATCGGGATAAAGTTGTGAACCATTCCACCGTTTACCGACAACGTCTTGAATAACTAAATACAAAGCTTCTTGCTCTGTCCTCTGCATGGGAGCTATGGACACTTCTCCTTCGGATGATACATGGAAGAAGATAAGGAGGAGCGAGAGTGGAAGAAGAGCCCAACTAGAAGTGCTTCTTCTCATCTGTAATAACAAAACGAGAGGATTAGGTGATGAGGGGAGTGCAAGGCGAAGACCTGTGTCGGTCAACTGAGAAGGAGAAGAAGCATGAAGAGAAAGCAGAGGAGTTTAACATTAATCAAAGAAGCGAAGTCAAGAGTAGATCTGGGGAGGAACATCGAGGGGGTCGGAGCAGGAGCAACTACCTTCACGAGACACCAACAAGGAAGTGAGACTATTATTGATCAAGGCGACACAGTGTACGACAGTCGAGAAGAGGCACAGCCTCCCTCGTGGGTGAAGCCCAATAATCTCACACTAGCAGAAGCAACAAGGAGAATATCAAAGAATGATCGCAGGAACAGGAAACCTGCAACTCCTCAGGACCATCAAAAACCAAAAATAGAGAGCGGTGACTGCAAAAGACGCTCGGCCACCAAAGGAAGAAGAGACTATGTTGGAGCGTTCTCCAAGAACTAGTGCGGGAGGCAAAAGCCAACAGGGAGAGAGTTGGGTCTCAAAACAGAAAGAGCTGAAAGTAGAACACAGTGAGAGTGAGAGAAGTGAAGGGTTGATTGATGTGTAGAAATGACTACGGATGAAGGGTCGATGTAGAAATGACAGCAGACCAGACTGAAAGCGAGGGGAAAGAACCGTGAAAGACGTACTCTTGGTGAATCGGAGGTGATTAGGTTGCTATCGGGGACCGTCTCACATGCATGTGATAGCAGAAACAGAGAGCAGATGGGCTGGTTTCATCTTGTGGAGGACCATTTTTCACACAAGTCTACTACTCCCTCTTTGCTACATTGGCCAAAAGATGGTTTATATCTCGAGTTAGAGTCTTAGATATGGCATCCACCGTTACCTAAACAGAGAACCTTAATTGACCTCAGAAGATGAAATTACAAGAGACTCTCGATGCAGGCAATTAGCACTGCCATTACATCGCCCGTCTTCTCTTTGTTCCGAGACAGAAAGAAACCCAGTGTTTTGGACTCATGCAAGCATGATAATTATTGGTGTGTTTCTTTCAGTTAATAACAAGCATACCTGCTGATGCACGCATCGTATGATTTGAGGTTGTTTGCTCGCTCGTCATTAAAATCCTCGGGATGCTTCCGGGTTGGACAAAGACAAAACATAGTGATATGGACCATCGGTGAACTTTTCCTTTACCCTCTTCCTATTCCTTCTGTCAGAGTCATTCAAAAAAAGCTACTTGTAAGCTTTGCAAGAGTCAAACAGTTTACAACAGAATATATAAAGAAGAATAAAGTTTCCCCAGCATTGCATATTTAGAAGTTGGGAGAAGAGACTTCCCAACCAAATAGTGTGAGATAGATACTTCAGCCAGCAAAAAAATAAAATAAAAAGGCATACTTCCTAAGTTATTAATCTCGGAAAGTTACTCACAAAAGCTGGATTTGATCTTGTCACAGGTAATAATTCATACTCTAAAGCCAAAGCAATGCATATTTAAGCTAACAGAGTAGTGACAATTCTAATTTGTGACTCGTATGATAGCTATTAGAATATACTGGGAAGACAATGCAGGTATAAAGCCTTCAGCATTATTAAACAAGAGCTACTACGATGAACTTCCACAACAACAAGAAAGAAGAGCTCATATCTACCTGCATCGGCTGCGCTGAAGCAGTAGGGGAACCACATGGTCGTATGATGCCCGAGACAGAGCTCACCATCGCATCGCATCGCATCTGTTGCTCTGGACCACCCTCTTTGCCCTTGAATAAATAAAGAGGTGCAGCGGAAGGCCGAGTCCCTTTCCGTCCCGGCTTTATATTTGGCAGGTTGCTTCCAGTTCCCAAGCTGTGGTTTTTGTCTTTGTATGGATGTACGCGAGCACTGAGTGGGCTTTGCATTTACTCCTGTGATCCCAAGCATTTAGACTCCTCTTTGCACGACCGGAAGCAGAAATTACATGACAAATGTAGTCGGTCGATCCTCGCCAAACCCAAATCCACCGCTGCAATTAAAATCACATGCACTGTGAGGCGCTTCTTCAACATTTGACGCCTGCACTTTGATCGCCCGTACCATGATGCAGAAGAGAAATGAGCATGTCTGCTTTTTCTAAGATAAATCGTATGAAAATGTACTCACAGAAGCAGAGAAACCGAGCCGGAGACCGTCATCTGGTTTGGTAATTTACCGGTGCTACATTCTCAGAGAACAACGTGATCATCAAGATCCGGAGGCAAAGAGGGGTGGGTGGGTGGCAGTAGCACCTCCATCACCCTCTTCCGGTTCCAGACGACCACTCCGCTGCAACTACCGTCTCGGAAAGGGGGCGACGAGCCGATCATCCTTTCTTCTGCGGCGCAGACGTCACGATACCCACCTCAAACTCCCAGATCCGACGAGAACAGAAATTGGAGGAGGGTGACGGGACCCAGACTCCGAAGACCAACTCTCGATCCGGCCCCATTACCACCCAAAAAGATGGCCATCCCCGGAAAAAACGGAGACGATGACAACAAGAATCCGCGAGTTCCCTTCACCGAGATTGGAAATTGGATCGTAAAGAAGCTTTACGTCGAGAGTAGATCGAAGAGAAGAGAGGGCGACCCTAGAATTAGAATTGGAGGAGACGAAGAAAACGAAGTCGAGTGGTTGCGAGTAATTTATAGATTATCCCTAATGCTTCCTAATCGTTGTTTCGGTAATTAAAATATTCTTGCTGAGATCACGTTTGTTCCATAATGAAAAGAAATTGAAACAAATAATGTAATTAGCTACAGTGATTAAAATGACCTTTCATTTTAATGAGTATGTCATGGATTATGAAGAGGCCAGATAAGATTAGACGATTGAAAATGACCTTCCTGAAGTAAGTGATAGAGAGGTCGATGAAGGCGAAGGCTCCCATGAAGAGAAGGAGGCCCAATCTCTTTACCACATGATTTGCTTGGTTCTTGGCATAGTGAGAACGATCATCGATGATATGCTTAATATCGATGTCGCAATATTCAAAGGCTAACGGTGAGGAACATAATGACTACAGGCCTCCCACTTTTCATGGGAGCCTTTGCTCTCTATTTTTCAACTCACGTGAGAAATCGTCATGTGCCAATCACATGACCACGTTCACACAGTGCATCCATGCACGTGAGACCGTTCAACAGTGTGATCCTCACCATGATCATACCATCGCTTGCAATACACTAGCACTACTCGCTACCTATCCCAAGAGATTGGAGAGAGCTAGGAATAGAAAGAGGGTGAGGGAACGAGAGCTCGAGAGGGGATAAGGGAAAGGAAATCAGGCATCATCTCATTCTTTCTTTCCTTTTTTTTTTGTTATATGAAAATTGACTCAAAATTGAGTATAACTTAGGCTCAATCAATTGGACTAGTTCCTCACTGAACGGTCCAGTGTGAGACATCTCTCATCACCGCTACATTCCTCATCGTCTGAGCGGTGATGACGTTGAGCCTATGAACGATCGTGTTCGATTGACGGAGGCTCATATGAAAACAGGGAGGTCCAAAGTTACTGCATTCCTCACTGTCGGCCTCTCGAAGGTTCCTCGATGTGTTGGCTCTGGGTATCACCTCCTCCATGGAGGTGATCTTTAGTCGTTTAACCCCATCTAGTTCCTCTCTATAATCGATGACACACTCACCAAACTACTTGTCACCGAAAACGAAAGAGATGTTGAAATTATTTGTTTTGCCTATCACTTTCGTGTCGATCCAATACATAGTGTTATATGTTGTGTTTTTCATTAATGTAACTGACGGAGTTATGATAAATGAAATTATTTGTTTCACTATTAAAATTGTAGAGTTGTTAATATAAATCTTTTAAGTACAAAAAACTATGATCCTGATAAGTCAAAGTAAAAAAGATAATATATAATTAGCCCAAGTGATTAGGATGCTTTTAGAAATTAAACCAACTAAAATAAACAACAATCACTTTACATCGTCTTACTATAGCAAATAATTTCAGTCCCATCCAACACAATACAACTCTACTCCCTTATTAGGAACACGGTTAGGGACAAAAATTTTAAATTCGATTATCATTAATAATATGAAAACGTGAAGAAAAAAATCACGTATAAGTGTATTTTTTTTCTCAAATAATAGTAAAGTAATAAGGTACTATTAATATAAGATTAAATCAAATAAAAAATATGATAAAAAATTCTATTAAAATTTTAAAAATATTTATAAGATTTTAATCTACTAATATATTTGAGAATTGGATGGAATAATAATAAGCCAAGAAATTATTTATCTCTAAAATTTTATCTAATTAATTTATTATAAAAATAAAAAAAATTCTTAATTTTTTTTCAAAAATAATACTTTAAATCTTTAGCCGATGAGTACATCGTGTGACTGCTAAACTCATATGCTTATGTCCAATATAATATCTAAACTCATTTTTTGAGAAAATATTTTTTGTTACACGAGGTTGGGCAACATGACAATCAAATCGATGAACGGGTTTCATAAATTGACCAAACAAGGCATCGAAAAAAGGCATTTGAATTGACTTGTACGACATTCCACCCCCAACACCTAAACCGGTAGGTAGTCAAACGAAGGATTCATAGAGCTACTCCTTTTTTTGCCTAGTCAAATGTTTGGTAAAAGACGTGACTTCTCTTTTGTTCATGTAAAAATACCGAATCCAACGGTATGACATGACATGACATGATATAAAATAAAAAATTATTTCATATTATATTGAGAAAAGTAAAAAAAAAATCAAAACATAATAAAAAATATTAAGATAACTATATGCCTAAGGGTTGGAAATAGTTCGCATAAGTGATGATCGGTATGAATCTTATCAACTTGTGAAGTTGAAAAAGAATCCATCACTTTTCGATGATTCAGAAGAATGTTAAGAGATACATAATATACCTATCATGTTTTATCATCATCAACATTGACGTCTGCTTTAATTGCTTTAATGCATCATAATCATCCATGTTTATTTATTATGTCACTAGAGTTTTTTGATATCTTAGAATATATTTTATTTAAGCCATACCCAAATGCTAGGTCGGCTCTGATATCAAATGTCACGATCCGAGTCTGATAGGCTAACTAGTCTATCAACTTCGTTTGGTCTAAATCACTGATCAAAATGTTTAAACTGAAATTGATAGTAATATATTCATCAAACCCTTATAAATCAATCTTAATCTTGTCCACTTTCGACATGAGACTAATCAGGGATATTACAGCATATTTTTAGTCTTCTTTTAAATACTCCAATTCTTTATTTAGTACTAGTTAAGTTAATATAAGATTTTTTTCCTTCAAAAAAGAAAAAAATTGAAGGATGGTGGATCAAAACAAAACATGGATGAGTACAATAATACCATAGTCGAAATAACATGTTAAAAAAGAAGAAAATATCAACCTTCAAGAACATCAACAAGTCTAAAAAAAAAAAAATAAATCATCAAAGATACGAGGAGATAAAAGTAAGGATCTTGATCGATAAGGTTACGAGTCACAGTATTGTTTATCCTATTTACATGTTCAAATCTCAAAATATTAATCTTCCTATAAAAAAAATTAATTATTACAAATATTATACC